CCATGGTTAAATGTAATTGGCAGAAATGTCCAACAAAGAAAACTGACAATGTTTCCAAGAAACAAGAAAGGATAGAAAAGAACAGAGCAAAAATAATATGAAGCAAACAATATATATACATGCAAGACTAAAGTAGGCAAAGCAACTGCAATGGGATAAAAAGTCCTCAAAGTAAGAATGATGTTAACAAGTGATCACAGTGTTCTGACTTCAAGAAAAGAAAGAACAAGAAGATGGCAAAAGAAACTGAGAAGTGGTCTATCTTATTGGCTCGGTAGAAATTCCAGCATGCAACTACTACAATTTGGCTATAAATTTAAAGGAGAGGGATGTTTTTGCCATTATTCCAATACCAATTGGAACCCAATAATTACTAGCTCCAAGAAGCAGTAAAGAACAAAATTCCTATTTAATGATGACAAAAATATACTCAATTTGCATATGAGCATAATTTCTATATAATTCCTACCACAGATCAAGTATCAAGATTTTTTAAAGAAAAACTTGCAAACTAAAACAAAACAACACAAATTATAATGTTCAAGACAGAAAAATACAAAAATAAATTTTTGATCTAAGACAGCTTGCTGTCACATTATCTTCAAGAATACCTGTGAAAACTTCTACTTCAAAATATTTTTTTAGCTGTTTAGATAATAATATAAAATTTTCAGGATTTAGCAATGCTTTCTTTATACAAAAATTTTAATAAATAATAAAATGTTGAAAAGAAATTTCTCTGAAGAAAATATTTCTCATTTTGAAAAATATATATAGGAAATATAGAAGTAAAAGGATTTAATTAATTTTGTAAATACTTGATAATTTTGCATTCTTTTCTCTTTTTGAATACATATATTTTTAGTCCTTGCAGAAGAAAAACAGACATAAAATAATTCTTGTCTTCAGGAGGTACCATTTTTGTTTTCTACTTGTAGTTCCAAGATTTTATTTCTTGCATTTCTTTTATTCTTTCCAAAATGAAAGCTGATTGTGCTGCGTGATCTATCTTCCCAGAATTCACAAATATTGAATGTTTATTTCCATGCTGCATTTCAATCGTGCAAATGTCAAGGCCTGGTATATAATTCTTCATCTTGGATAAAATCACGATTCCTGAAATCATTAATCATTATAAATATTGAATAATGAATATGTTTGCCTTCAGCATGTATACACGTGCATGTGTACAATTTAGGATTAAAAGTTAAAAGATGTGTGCGTGTGTGCATGCATGTTTGTATGTGTATATATATAAGTTGACAGTCACCAGTTTACACAAATATTTATTTTTACACATTTATATATCTGTGTATATTTTTACTCATGTTCACACTGTTGTACAGGTATCACATGTATGTTAAGATGCATTAAAATATATTTGTATATATTTATACATTAACAACATACATGTATCATGAAACCTATAAATTGCAGGTTGTATTAAAGTGCATATACAGACTAAAGTTTGAATGCAATTAACGAACAAATAAATTAGGATGCATATGCACTTATACACCTTTCTCCATTAGCTCTGCCTGTCCAAAATTATATTTACATAAAATATAAAATAAATATAATTAAAAGCAACTGATCAAAGAAGCAACATTTTGCAGTAATATAAAAATATTTTTCCTAAGCCACACATAATTTAATGGAGAACAAAAGATCATTGTTTAGATTTACAAACAATTTGTGTAGAAGTTAATAGAGAGAAGAAGTGCTGAAGAGTTCTTAGCCAATCCAGTTCTCCAAAATCTGACCAAATGTCTTAACAGCAGAAATTTTAGTGGGAATTCCTTTTCAACACAATTTACATCTAACACAAAACATATATATTTATATAATATATAATAACAAAATTACAAGAAATCCAATAAATACTTATCAATAATACAAACATATAAACTGTAAGAAATGAGAACATAACAATAAAAACAACCTACATTAATAAAATTTCATTCAATTTAAGAACAATGATATTAAATATTTTTCAAAACTAAAAAAACAATGACAAGACACAAGCTGATGTACATTTATAAACACTCTTATTACCCCCCCCCACAATTATTTGATAATGGTTTATGAAAGCTAAAAGCACCCAGAAGAAACTGTAGAATTTATATTCAAATATTTCCCAGAAATCAGGAAAATGGTCTGAACTGAAATAAAAAAAACTTAAGCAATAAATTTTCATGAATCAAGTGTGTGTGTATGTATGTATATATATATATATATATATATATATATATATATATATATATATATTGTGACTGAAGGTTTGAGTGTATTGGCCTTGTTCAGCTGTTGATCTTGCCTGATTATGCACTCTCCCCAGAAACTGTAACTAACACCTGCCACTTGCTCAGTATAGTTAGGGTATAAAGCAGGTTAGCTCTGTGAGTCTAGAATAAACATGTATATACCTGAGTAGGCATCTACAACACAGGTATTATGGTCAGAATGCTCATGTTATAACTACTCAACCATCCACACACACACAAACACACACACACACACACATATATATATATATATATATATATATATATATATATATATATAATCATTAATGACTTAATGTTTGAGCACATTGGCCTGATTCAGCTGCTGATCTTACCTGATTATGAACTCTCTCTCTCTCTCTCTCTGAAACTGTAACTGAGGTCTTCTCAGCATAATTGCATTATAAACTGCAGGTTAATAGGTTAATTCTCTTGATGTTGAAACACAAATGTGCTTGAGCATATGTCTGCAACAGGGACTAGGTAGCCATTATAACAGATGGGTGTACTTGAGAAGAAGAAGCCATTATATAGATATATTGCATGTATTTAGGTAGCAGATGTTCCTAAAGGCAAATGTTATTAAAGACAATAGATGTTTTGTGTTGATTAATTTTATTGATCGCCTTTTCTAAATTATGAATAATCCTTCTCAGATAAGGAGGAAATATGGTCTAATCTTTCGACTTGTTTAAGTCATCATCAGAGTAGGTAGAGATAAATGGTGAGTTATATATGTGCATGTGTGTAGAAGATCTGTCTATCATATATTCAGTTTATGATTATTTATTTAACATAAGCAATATTTACAAAGAAGATTAGAAATTATGTGCAGCCACATATTTCCCATGGCTATTTGAGTAAATTACTCTAAAGGTCAGTTTTACAATAGAAACCATTCATGAATGCTGACATTTTCTTCATTCCCTGCATTAAAATACATACTCATACATATAACTCATATTTCTACTAGTCTTGTATAAAATCAAAATTTGGCAAAGCAATATGAACATTATTTTATATCAAGTATTTAAGTATTTGAATGAGGAATCAATTCAGACTCTGTTGCATTCAAAAATTTGTATTGTACAATCAACATATAGAAGAATAAACAATAAAAGAGAGAGTGAGAATCACTCCCACTTCATCTTAAAGTAACTAAAATCTTCATAGGGACCTGTACTCAGTGAAATTGATTTTCTGCTATGTCTGCTAGGTGTTTCCTGAATATACTACCTTTTTCATAAAATATCTATGAGATAATGGATGCAAAATGTTTCCTATAAAGGAAACAGCTGATATTGGCATTATATATATATATATATATATATATATATATATATATATATATATATATATATACTGTCAGATTTTATTATTCAAGTCACTGTTTTCATAAATTAGTCTTAGTCCACTGATGTTGGTACAGTTTACAGTATATACTTATATACAATGTCTGATGTGAATTTGAGCTTATAATATTTGGTTCTATTTGAAATATTTACAATTTATTTAGTAGTATAAGATTTTATTATATACCTTAAGGGTTGTTCATTATATATACACTACAGTTCAAAAGTTTGATGCCACACCTGGTCATTTTTCAAATTGGCCCCAAAAGAAGTCTTGTATTTTAAATAAGAGAACATTGTTATACATGGTTACAAAAAATGAGACATGATTTTTACTAGAAATTTTATTATGACAAAAACAACAAAAAAGAAATTTTATAATTGAATTTTGCTCTTGTCAAAATATCCTCCTTTAGCAGCTGACATTTTTGGCATTCATTGCAAAAGTTTCTCAAAGTATAAGTTTAATAACTGATTCCATTCTTTTTTCAATGATTCTAAGAGATCTTTTTCATTTTTTTTCACTCTTCTGTTAAGTTCATCCCATCCTAATTCTGGGGGTAGCAGTCAAACTTTTGAACTATAGTGTATATATAATAGTATAGTTTTTTTTTTTTAAATTTCAGATATATATCCAGAAGTTATTTTAATGTAACTGAGTGATAGGAATACAATGTTGTAAATTGTGAAAGTTGAACAGAAATCAAAAAAGAAATTGAAAACATTGGAAAGGTAGCAATAAACAACTGATTTTAAAATTAAGAAAAATTAAAATAAGGAAAATATATAATATTTAAAAAAGCTGATGTTGCAAATGTAAACAAAGAGAAAAGATGCACAATATTAAGAAGATTGTCTAAAGACATGAAAGCAATCAAACTACAACCTTTAGTATACATCATTAGAGAAATGTGTATTTTGGGTAAGAAGTATATGAAAATTGATTTCTCAAAATTAATTTTACTGATGAATGTATAACTAAAGGTGCATGGTATTGATAAGTGGGTTTTTCATGGAAATTGACATGACTTGCAAGACAAGTTCCTTTAAATGATTATGGTTCTACATAAATACAGATTATTATTAAAATTCTTGAATGAAATATTTTTTGTGTGGTGCAAGTCACAACCAAGAAACTTTAAACTAATGCATATATTCATCTAAGATGACACTCCTTCTCATTTTACAAGGCTGATTACTGACCATGTTTAAAAAAAAAACAGTTTCAAAGACATTATAATAATGGAATAGTTCCCAACCTCTCTAGATAATTATACAATGGAAAATAATAAAAATTGCTTCATATAATGTTAGAGTCAAAACAGTAAAAAAAAATAAAGGCAAGGGCTTATGTCCATTATACATTGAAACATTGGTTCCCATATGATCAGTAAAGTTAAGCAATGTCAAGCCTGATCAGTACCTAGAAGGGTGATTGTTTGGGAATACCTGGTGCTGTAAGCTTGGATCACAGTGTTCTGACTTCAAGAAAAGAAAGAACAAGAAGATGTGTGTAATGGATAATGTCTTGGAATTGTTAATCAAAGAACTGAGTTCCAATTCCAGTTGGGTTTGTTATATTCACTTACATGCAAATACCCTTGGGAAAGGTATGAATCCACCTCTTTTCTCCTCCAGCTATGGGTTAATTAGTAAGACTGGTATCATTATTATTGAAAAAAATTCTTACACTCTTAAAATATTTTCTGGTTTTCAATAACCTGCAAAGCCATAGAAAACAAATCAATCAATAAGATCAACAAATTAAATAATATATAGCATAATAATTTATTCATGTATATAAGATATATGTTTCTATGGTATGCATATTTTGGATTTATTTATAAATGAAAATTTATGTTGTACTTCATTTTGTTGTATAATAAAACCTGACACTCACAAAAGAATTTATAACTAATATTTTTAACAATGGCTATTAAAAGCCGAAACCCAACTAATGTACTGCTCATATAAGTATATTCTAAAAAATTTACACTGGCTTGCATAATGCACTCTGAAATAGTGTATTACTTGAATATAAATAAAATGTTTGTTTTTTATTTCCTCTTACAAGCATGTAATCTAATAAGATACATTTGAGAAACATCTGAGAATGAAACTGCATAGTTGAACTGATGTTTGAATAGCCTGAATGCAACCACCAGATATTGCATTATTGAGGTTCAGATTCTATAAATGTGACTCAAGAAAGAAAATGTGATTTTCTCAATGAAATATTTTCCCCAACTTTGCATTGACCTGTTGTGAAATGATTGTGAGATTTGTTTTTTTTATCTCAAGTCATTGTTTGTTTGTCCTGTTTTTATATAATTTTTCTCAGAACTATGGCTGATAGCTTTCTTAGTTAAAATTGGTGATTAAGATTTTAATTTGATAATTTAAAGTTTGCCATGTTTACTGTTTTAAGTGATTTATGTATTGTCTGTTCAGTTATTAAAAAAAGGATTTTTTTCAAGATGATGAACATTTTACAGTAATGATGACATATCAAGACATAACCTTTTCTGTTCCATTTTCGTTCAAATTTATATCTTTGTATGTTATTGAAAATATATGCAGCTAAGCATAAAAACGAAATGAATTATAATTCTGAAGGGTTTAATTAAAATTATGTTTGACATTTATGCTCTCTCTACTAACAAAATAAATATATCCATACAAATATAAATTTCAAAATTCATCAAATTTTATCAAAAGTAAGCCTGAAATATTTTCCATTTGGATAAATGAGGACATGTCAATGGTTCAAGAAAAACTACAATCTGACAAAACACTTGTAGGTATGCATCAGTATTCTGATAGAAAGCCTCGTGGAAATGCTAATATTTTGTGTAGAAACAACATATGTACAATTGGGTTCTGAAATATATCAACAGAAAGATATGGCTATGAGCTCACCATTATATCCAGCAATGAACATGAAGTAATTTGATAAAATAATCTTAATAGTTAACACTATTGTGAGGTATGTAGATGACTAGTTCTGGATATGATGATAAACTACACCCACCAGCAAGCTTCTGATTGGGAGATTGGAGGTTTTGAGGAGCAGGGAACCACCTCTTCATTGCTGTTATTCCCAGGTCCACCCTGACCAGTGGTGGTAGAACCTATTAGTATCTGAGCACTGTGCAAATAGTGAACCTCCAAATAAAAACAAAATGCTATGAAACGATAAAAATACATTTCTGTAGTAAAAATACCAGCAATAAATTTATATAAAAAAAATACTAAGAATACGAATCTATATTAAAATTACCAACAATACATTAATCAACATGAAAAAACATGACATTAATCCAAATAATATCCTACAATTTCTTAAAGAAATCAAACTGTATTCCAAAATATAACTTCAAGAAAACTACAACATAAAACACACATATCACTGCCTCTAGTAATTACATTCCCACAAACATGTATATACACAAAAGCTGAGTATCAACTACCATGTGTTCAATTTTGATAGCAGAATGACATATATCATATTTTCATTACTTTAAAGCTCCCAAGAAAATTAAATTTCAGCATTAAGTAACCCATAAGATGTTGATATGCCATTAAAAATCAAGTCAAATCAAATCAAGTAGATGACATGTTCACAGTCCTACCAGGCTCATATGAATGTGCTGTTGAATCATGGGAATGCTATAAAATATTTAATTTAGAGAAAGAAATGAACTACAGTTGAAACTTCCAAGATGTACAAACAACTTGCAAGACAACTATATATAATGAGCCAATGCTCAATAGATATTATCTAGCTACAATAAACTACAATTCCAACCATTCATACAGTATAAAGAAAGGGATTATTTGCTGATTAAAACATTGAAAAGAAATATACATGGTTATCCAGGCCTGTACCATTAAGAGATGGATTGGATATCATAAATGATGCACTAAAAAAATAAAAAAAATAATTGAAAATACCTCCAACAAACCCCAGCAAAAAGTTTAGGAAACAACAAATAGGTTGGTTAAAACCAATCCACTATACATCAGAGGTTTAGAGGAGAAAATACATAGAATATGCAACTCACATAACAACAGGACACACCTCAAAAGTGATTTCATGTCATGCCATCACATCATCCAAAAAAAAACTCCATTAGAAGAAAGCATAACCAAAAACTGATGCCATTATAGCAGAGAATACAAGTGTGAGATTAGCCACGTTCTAACATAAGATCTATAGAATAATGGAAAACAGCTATCCTTGGAGACATTAAAATCAAGTATGGTTGATCCTGCATGGAAGGAAGCTTGGCATACCAATCTCTATAGCAGAAAATCAAAATAATAGACAAGGAAAGGAATAAGGTAATTGAAGAAATCTACACATGTTCTGTTCAGATGATTCATTCAGCATACTGAGCATTGATAGGAAGAGCATAAAGAAGCCACTACCAAGAAGGAACAAATGATAATTTTTGAGATTCCAAAATCATAGCAAAATCAATGGAATAGCTAGTGAAGTTCATCCCATACAAAAGAAGGTCCTGACTTCAGTACATAGGTCAAGGTGGGACACTTCTAAGACCATACAAGTACAGGCACTGGGTGTGGCATATGTGACAGAGAACTCAGAACATGTTTCAACATTCCAAAAGTAAAATAATCACATAAGGAATGCTGTGATTTGGCTAAAATAGTGTGATAAAAAATCAACAGACAAGAAAATTCATCCAAATTCACCAAAACATAACAATTATATTGATTACCATTAAAATGAATTTTAGCAAAGACAAAATACTAACATAATTGATTTACGGTATTATCATCCTCTGCTATCATTTCTAAACTTGATCCCTACAAAGCATTTAGACTCAATGGCATCCCTGTAATAGTCATTAAGAAGTGTGCTTCTGAACTAGTTCTCTCTTTATAATAAGTGCCTCGCTGCCTTCTGCTTTCCTGCCTGCTGGAAGTCATCATCTGTTGTTCCAGTTTTTAAGTACTCTGGTGAACTGTCTAATACATACAACTATCAGCCTATTAGCTTTCTACCTCTTTTTGGGAAACTTCTAGAGGCCCTAATCAATGCTGAATTGGTTCATCATCTCTCATCACAGGGTTTTTTCTTTGACAAGCAATATGGCTTTCATTTCTCCAGATCAACTGCTGATGTACTAATGATAATTGCAGAAAGAGTCTATCATGCTCTAGATAAAAAAAGTGAAGCCTGGGCATTTTCAGAATTAAATTTTGTTTGCACCTCACCAATATATGATAAAGTGCATTTAAAAATAAAAGAGAGAGAGAGGGTTGAAAGGAGATAACTTCAGATTCAAAATGAGAACATTTAAATTAATAAATCTTTCCTCCAATTTGTAGACCCTAGTTACTATATTCTTAATATAACACAAAATATCATAATGATAAAACCAGTCAATAATTATTTATAACTATTTATACTGGGACTCATGCATGTAATTATAAGTAATCCGTAATAATATTTTAAACTTTGAAATCATATTTATTTTTGGCATGTGAATTTTTAAAATCTGTTTCTAAATCTTTGATTATCTTTCAATCTTTCCGCCTCACCTACTATCCTCTTCCACTGCACTTATGTGGCACTTTGCCCCATTTAAGAACCACTGCCCTAGACAGTGAATGTGAGAAAGGAGAATATTTCAAAAATAGGAACTACAAAGAAAGTGTTAATAACAATCAAAATGAAGCAGCTGAAATTTTGGAGACAGATAATAAAGAAAGAACGTTTGGGGAATTAAAAACTTACAGCAGGGGTGCCTAAACTTTTTCCAAAGAGGGCAGGATTTGATGAAGTGAATATGTGTACAGGCCAACCATTCTGCATGACTTTCTTTGAACCATTAAAATTAAAGGCAAATTAACTATTGTATGACAATTTTGTTGCAAATGGCATATTTTCATTTCTTCACATGGATGACAAATAAATTTAAACAGGTCTTACCAAAATCTCTCAGCCTGTCATATCTGAAGCCTATATAAGATGAAGTAAAATATGTCTGAGAAAAAAGAACTTCCAAGAAGCTATAATATATCTGAGGTTAATCTTAAACATTACATGTTATTGGTAATTAAATGTTGTCTATCAACTTTTCAGTTAAAAACATGACAAGGAATATAATACCAACATTCATCTTATTAAGAAGTAGTAAACATAAAGTGACACAAATCCAAGTATCCACATATATTTATAATTGATTTTGACCAACATAAAACAAATTTAATTCACAAAGATTTTAGAATTTATTCATCTCAGATGACCAAAACAATTAACTTGTCTGCACTAATGTGAAGGGTGATTCTAGAAATTGGCTGGAAAAGGTCATGGTCACACTGCTAGAGGGTGGCCACACCGTGCTGCTGCCATCTTTTGGTAAAACATGAAATTGCATTTTTTTAGGTGTGTACTTTACATACTCTCTGACTGACAATACTGGCAGGCCG